GAGGCGCTGAAATGCAAAGTAGCTGGGCTTAAGGATAAAAGTAATAATCACCTAGCTGTGATGGCAGCAGCTGTCGGGGACTCTGCTTCTCTTCATCATCTCTGTCGTCACTTAATGAGTGCCAGGCCTTGTCACCCTTGAACACATGATTACTCTGCATCTTCAGAGCAACCCTGCAAGGTATTGTCCCTACTTTACGGATGATGAAACAGACTCAGAGAGGTTAAGTTCACCCAGAAGTTAAGTGGCAGGGAGAGAACTTCCGGCCCTTGCATGGAACTACTAGGTTAGAGATAGTGTCTCCCTCCAGGGCAGGGGGAAAATTTGCATATCATAAAGGTAATGTCCTCTTCTAGGGCCAAGGTTTGCTCGAAGTCCCTTTATGAGACTGGAGTTCCCTGGGCTCGGAGTGCCTTAGCTGGAACTCAGACTCACTAGCTGCCTTCACTGGGCAGGGCTTGCCACAGGAAGCTCGAACAGCCTGCTGTGCGGTGAGTAAGAAAGTTCTCCATCTCTTGCCCAGGAGTCTCCTGCCTTCTGCCAGCATCTATTAAGTTTGTTAACTTGCAGATAGGGGTAAAAATCTCAGGTCCTCTCTAATTCCTGCTCATTACTTTATCTCCAGCCCCCAGAGCTGCCATGCCTGGCAGCAAATTCTTACTGAATAAATGAAATTACAAAACAATGCCCCCAAGTTAGTCTGCCACTTCCTTATCTCTGATGGGTAACCACCTTTCTTCTATTTTTAAAGCTGTCTAGGTCAGGTGATGTCTCTCCACTTTAATCTTGTCCTGTGCATTCACCCACTTGCCTGAAAACACTGCAGAAAGTAACTGGAATGTGTTAAGCTCTAAGTGAGCTTTTACTTGATACAGTGGAGCCGCTGATCAGAGTAAAGAGCCAAAGAGCTGCACTCCTTCTGCCAAAGATGGGTCAAGCTAAATTTCTATGAAGGCCAAAGGTGTAGGGGGCCTGGGAGATGCAGAAGATTCTCCAGGGGACACCTGGAAAGGGGA